GAAACACACATTTACTTTAAAGTTGTACCTCAATTAGCCTTTATATGGGCCTAGAAAGCTTTGGGGGACTTTTTGAAGTAATTAATACTAATAAAGTTCGTACATTTTAATGTAGCCTATTAGTAAATTAAACCACAACTTAAAAATAGATTTAATTTGATAAAGTTATGATTCAAAATGAAAGAGTTATGAGGTTTGATTTCTTTTTTTATCGAAGACAGTTTTCAAACATTTTTGAAATGGGTAACTTCACTAGTATTGATAAAAGGAATAAGAAATTGAAAGCAAAGATTATTAGAGATATATGTTCTTATATGTGCAAGCCAAAGTATCTTCATAGAACATTTTTATTAAATCTCATTTTGTAGATTGTTTTTATATATTGTTATTTAGCAAAATAAAGTCCAGTGAAAAATTCCTATTTTCAGAGATTTCTCTTCGTTTATAGTTGTTACAGGGTACAGCCTTGTTTACCAGTCGCTTATTTAGTAGCCGGCGAATATGAATGTGTTCTGACTTTGGAGCCATAGACATTTGTTCTTTGACTTTCTTTGCTTTCCGGGTGAGACACCCACTCATTCCGCCCCTCCGCCTCTGAGTTCCCCCCGTCCCCCTCTGACCAAAACCCCCTCGCTTCCCTACCCAACGAATCGCGTCTGTGCGAGAAGTTTGTGGTATCATTCCATTGGCATTGGGAAGCCAGAAACAGAGACGGAGCCTTTTTATTGTTTTGCTAACGAATAAAAAAAAAAACAAGAGAACCGTCTAAATGATAAAAAACAAAGCGTAAAGAAGTGTAAAAGTTGTACCTTATATATATGTATATATATATATATATGGGTCTGGGGCTCGGGGATCTCGCAAGATCTGCGTAGTGCCCCGTGAACAACGCCATATTTGCTTAACGGTAAAGTAAAAACAGAGTCCTGTTCGCTGGGTGGTTGTGGGTGGTTTTTGGCCGGCTTTCGGGGCTGTGGGCTGTGTGGGCTGTGTGGACTGTGGCAGCCATTCTTGCAAGGCCAAGCCAGGCCAGGCCAGGGTTTCAATTAAAACATCACCCGGCAGAAAAGGGAGAGAGCCCCTTCCTATTTCGCCCGCCACTTTGAAATTATTCAAGTGGTCAGATGGTGTTGTTCATTATTCCTATAGTTGTTTTTGTAATTGTGCACACTCGATGGGGTTGAAAGGCACACACACACATACACACACACACAGCCATAAAGCCATACAGCCAAACCCGTATATATATATATATAGAGGCACATCCTGGCAGACTCCGGTCACAGACACAGATACACGGTACATCCGCTCACATTGGTAGCTGGCAAAAAGCGAGTGCTTCAATTCGAACATAATAAATTAATTTATCATCGGAAAAGAATCTCTGCCAGCTAACTGTAAAAGTTTCACCCTTATAGCGAGAGCCACCCGCCATGTGTATAATACACACATACTTGAATTAGTCGCTGCACGAACAAATGTCGCCTACACATCCTTCCAGCTTTATATTCCCCATGTCCTTTGCCCCCCCTTCTCCACTTCCCCATCCTGAAAGTAAAGCCACAGACCGAATCGCAGTCCTTGTATCCGCTTCGAGTTTTTGGGGAGCAGGAGGGGGTCGTGGAAGAGGGGCTGGGGTGGACCAAAACCAAAACCAAGGACCAAGGACCAAAGGACACCATGCAAATGGAGAATGAATAATGCGCGCCAAGTGGGGTCCACACATTCGGCAGGGCCCTGTTATTAATTGCCCACCTTCAACCGCGGCACGCCACTTATCCGGCAAAGAGCAGTCCGATGGAGACTATTAGGCATATAGCGTGAATATATGTGGTCCGGTCTGGAGGATATATAACGTAACGAAAATTAAGAATTTCTTATTGACATAATAAGGAAAAGACTAATATGGTTCCTATACCCAAAACGCTATACGAAAATCTTGCCTGACTAAGTGATGTGCTCATAATTAAGAAATTAATTTGAGTAATTAAGAAAAGCAAAAAAAATCAAAAATAAAAAGTAGTAACTGAACGAAAAAAAAATCAAAAGACATACCTGAATGTTCAATTTGTTACTTTGGGATTAATAAAGTTAAATAAATGTTTATTTTCACAAGTTGTATAGCAAAATCTAATAGTTGAATTATATATTTTCTATCTTGAACATTTCAAATTAAAAAAAACGATTATTTTCTTATCGTTATATATAACAGTAATTTATCACTCTGTATTTAAAGAAACCATTTACTTAAATAATGAACTTTTATTATATATATATATTTTGCAGTAATTCACATAGAGAGCTGATAACTCGAATATGTAGTGTATTCAATGATATGCAAATTTATAAATAAATAAATAATCTAAACCTTTAATTTTCCTGCTGATTCAAGGTAAAATCTCACCTCTAAAACATATATGTAAGTGTTTAAACAGTAGTTGGTTCTAGTTTTCCTGTCTTTACTGGAAAAGTCCTTAACAATTTATCATTTTCTTTGATATTTGCGTTCAGTAATTTAATTATTTGATATATTATCATAAAATGAGTAACAAATATCCAAGCAGGGATTTTCCCTCAAGCAGTTCGATGTCCGTTTGCAACCACCAGAGAGCTGAAGCCGTCGAACATGTTCGACAGCGAACATGTTCGAACTGGCCAGTGGGCGTTGTTGGGGTGGTAAGTGGTTAGTGGGTGGTGGGGAGTGGTGCGGGGATGGTTTCAGAAGTCGCTGCCGCAGTCGACAGCGACGGCGACCGCGCTGTCGGCGTCGCATGTGTGAGGTTCGGTTGGTTTTCCAGTTGCCAGATGCCAATTGAAGTTTCCGCACATGACAATTGGGGCGGCCAGTGGCGCTTGGATTGGTCACCAGCTGGTCGAGTGGTCACGGGGGGGGTGGTGGACGGCCAATGGGGGTCGCTCTCTCGATTGTTCTCACTTGCTAACCATTTGCTCACATTTTCCTTCCTTTTCTCCTCCCCATTCGGCAAGCGGAAATGTGGAGCGACACCTGGTGGCTGCTATCGCCTGCCCTCAAATGCACGCTACGCTTTTGCACCGCACGATCGTTTCCGAATTTTATGGCTGCCTACTTTTGGGCTGCACGATGTTGTAGGCTCCGCATGCTGCTATAAAAATCCTTTATGGCAAATAAAAGTCGCTCTCGCTCTCTTACAGTTTTTCAATTGTATTTTTATATTTTTGTATTTTCGTAACACAGACAACTATCTTTTAATTATTAATTTTTAAATTTGTTGTTTTTTGTTGTTGTTTTGGTTTTTGTTTTCGTTTCGTATTTTCGTTATTGTTACTTTCAAAAAATTACACACATTTGAAAAATATTTTTTTTTTTTTTTTTTTTTTTTTTTGTTTTCTGAATCCGCCACATCCTTGCTATTGCTCTCGGCCAAATGAGAGACATTGTCTCTGGTTTATTTGTGTTTAGTATAAAGTTTTCTTTTGTTTTTATAGCTACAATTAATTTTCTAAGATTTAATGATAGTTTTAGTTTGCTTCGTTTCGTTTCGGTTTCCGTTCGCCTCTGCTCTCTGCGTTTGGTGGAAGAAATGAATGTTGTAAATTGGTAAGCAAAAAAAATTGCCAAATAAAACATAACTCGTGTGCGGGTTTTTTTTTTTAATTTTCATGGATTTTTGTTTATTCAGTTTTCGGTTTATATATATGTTCTATATACGTGAAACACAATGCATTAAAACCTTTCATTCTTAAATTTAGTACATGTCGAATTCCATAAATTATGCACGGTAAACTTCGTCGATAAAACCGGAGGAAATCACCCGTAATAAGGCAATTTGGGAAATAACTGCTTTAGTAGGGGGATTTCCAGGTGGGATTTTGGGGGCATGGAAACAATACAAGGTTTAAACTAATGTTGCGCCTTTGAATTTTGCTCACAAAAATGTATTTTTACTACAAAACAAACAATTAAATATTAATCAAAATTCTGGATCTCAATCTTTGTTTTAGTTTCAATCAAATAACGAAAATCAACAGCAAAAAAACAATTTATAAAAAAATGCACTCTCTCGTGTCCTTTCTTCCCTTTCGTCCTTTTCATTGTCCGTTTTCCAGCTCTCTTTCGTCTTTTTCCTTATGTCTTATGTCTTCTGTCTTTTTTCTTTTTTTTTTGTTAAATAGCAAGAAAACAAATTTCGTTCTCAGTTCTTCAGTCTTCTAAATCTAGTTTTTTTTGTCGTTTTGTTTGTTTGTTGTTGTTGTTTCGGTATTTTCTCGTTAATTGCTTTCTTATATTTCACTTGAAGTTTTACGTACAAATTTGCATCTTCGTCTTTTCTCAATTTGCCTTCTGCCTCAACTTTTATGCATGATTTTCCTTTTCAGCTTAGACTAAAATTGTTTAAAAAAAATTTGTGTTTTACATTTATATTTATTTATGTATGTAAAAAAATTTGATTATTTTTCGTTTTTCTTTCATTTAAATTACATTTAATAATAGAATTATGTCTAGGAAAAAAAAAAAAAATAGAGAAGGAGGGGAAATAAATCAAGGGGGATATCGAATGAAACGAATACATATACGATAATTATAATTAGAGTTAGGATTTTTACAAGTGTTCGTCTTTAGTGCTAGGGATCTAGATTTACTAAAAAATGTACATCGATGAAAAAAATATTCATTCACTCGCCCATATCGATAATATTCATATAGTAATGCGTTTAAGTTTAGAGTATAATTTTGCTTATTTTTGTGGCTCGCTGGGAGCAAAATTTTATCATATTTTTTTGTTTTTTTTTTCGTTTACGTTTTTAGTTGTAGTAGGTTCTTCTCTTTTTTCATATTATACAAATCCTTTTGTGTTTTTTTGTTTTTTGTCGATTTACTTAGGCCTAGGAAATACACTGGAAAATGTGTGTCCACACAATTACTCTCTAAGCGATTATATTATTACATTTACGTATATTTATATTCTATATTTATATTTATATAAATTACAAGCACGAAAAAAAATGTTGGAAAAAAATGTGTTTGTTGTGTGTGTGTGTCAGTTTTCAGTTTTATATAAACAAAAAAAAGGTTCGAATCTTTAAAATTATATTACATAACGGTTATTGCTTTGGTATTAAATGCCTCTGGTCGTTTTTTTTCGTCGCCTGGAAGGAGCTGAATGGGGGGGGCGGGTTGGGGGATGGGGTGTGGCTTTTTTCAAAAAAGTCATATTTACAGGGGACTTGGGCTGGTATCTTTAGAAGATGCGCGACATGATGCGACTGCGACTGGTCTGCTGTTGCTGCTGCTGCTGCTGCTGCTGCAGTGGCGGTGGTGGCGCCAGCGGCACGGGAAAGCCACTGAAAAGTCATGCCTCCTCTTTGAGAGAAATGGGATGGACGCCGGTCAGACTGGATGAGGCATTGGAGTCATTGTCGCCGCTCACGCTGCCCGGCAGTGAGAGATTGTGTCCGCCCACAAACTGCGGCGGATAGCCGACCACGCCCATGGGCGACAGTTGCTGCTGCTGCTGCTGCTGGGCCTGCGCCGCCTGGGCCTGGACCGCCTGAGCCTGGACCGCCTGGGCCTGTTGGGCGGCCGCCTGAATGTGCTGAGCTGCGGCCTGGGCCGCCTGGGCAGCGGCCACAGCATTGGCGGCCGCTGCCGCCTTGCCCTGGTTGACCACACACTTGCGCATGTGCTTCTCCAGTGTCGAGGGCACGCTGAAGGGCATGTCGCAGAAGCGGCAACGGTACACATCCTTGCCCGTCCGGCCGTGCGTCTTCATGTGCCGCGTCAGCTTGGAGCTCTGGGCGCAGGCATAGGAGCAGAGCTCGCACTTGTAGGGCTTCTCGCCGGTGTGGCTGCGCCGGTGAACGGTCAGGTTGGAGCAGTTCTTGAACACCTTGCCGCAGAACTCGCAGGTGTCGTTGCGCTGCCGGCTCTCCTTCTTGAGGAGCGGCCCCTGGATCAGCGAGTTGGCACCGCCCAGGCCCAGCGGCTTGAGCTTGAGGTTCTCGAAGAGCGCCTCGTTGCGGTGCAGGGCCTGGGACATGCCCCACCAGTCGCCGCCGTCCATCTTCATGCGCTTGCTCAGCTCGAAGGGATTGGGGAAGGGATTGAACAGGGGCACCTGCGAGGGGGCACCACCATCCTGCGGCTGTGGCTGGAACATGTTGCAGTTCTTGGCGAACTCATCCCGCAGACGCAGTGCAGCCACCGGCAGGCCATTCAACTTGTCACCGGCTCCAGCACCTCCGCCTCCGCCGCGATTATTGTTATCCGCTGCGGCGGCGGCGGCTGCTGCTGCGGCGGCAGCCGCCTCCTTGCGACCCGATTCCTGCAGCGCCTGCTTGTAGGCCTCACTGTACTGGGCAATGTTCGAGAGGCCGAACTTGTCCATCAGTTCGCCCACCAGCGAAGTGGCACCCGAACTGGTCGTCTTGGGACTCTGGCTCTTGCCATCGATGCGGTTGCTCACACTCAGGTCCTCCGCCTTGTAGTCCATGTCCTCGCACTCGTCCAGCTCATCCTCGTCCTCGTCCTCGCCATCTAGGTCGCCATCATTGTCGCCATCGCCATCGCCCATCTCCTCCTCCGACTCATCGGGATTGGGATCGTCATCGTTGTCCGCCTCGTTTGTTTCCAGCGAATCGGCATTGCTGCCATCGTCCTGGTTATCCTGGTTGTCCTGCTCATCCGCCGGACTGCGATGCACCCGCATATGCTTCATCAGCTTCTGGATGTGCGAGCACTCGAAATCGCAGGCCGTGCACTTGTACGGCTTCTCGCCGGTGTGCGTCCGCTGGTGGATGATCAGGTTGTTCTCGAAGCGGAACTTCTTGTCGCAGTAGCTGCAGGCGTAGCAGTTGCTCGGCTCCTGCAGGCACACATCGCCCGTCTTCGAGGGCGGCGTGCTGGCCGAGCGCGGAGTGCTGGCAAGGATCAGGCCCAGGCTGCCATTCTCCGAGCTGCCCTCGCCCATTTTCTCGGGCGGAGTCAGGGAATGGGGTCGCTGTTGCTGCTGCAGCTGCTGATGTTGCTGCTGTTGCTGCTGATGTTGCTGCTGCTGCTGCTGCTGTTGCTGTTGCTGCTGCTGGGAGGGCGAGGGGCTCGCGAAATGCGGCGATTGCTTCTGTCGTGGACTCGGCGAGCTCGAGTTAACAGTGCTGCCAGCTCCAGGGCTTGTTGTGCCCGCAAGCTGACGCAATCGCTGCGAGTAAAAATCCATCTGCTGGGGCTCTAGTTTCAGCGAGCCACCAGCTCCGCCCACCAAACCGGCGCTCAGCTGGGATGGATGCTGCTGCTGCTGCTGCTGCTGCTGGGAGGTCTGTTGGGATTGCTGCTGCTGCTGCTGCTGTGACTGCTGTTGCTGCTGTGAATTCTGTTGCTGCTGTGCGGTCTGTTGCTGTTGCACAGATTGCTGTTGCTGCTGCTGTTGCTGCTGCTGCTGGGAGCTTAGAGATGGTGGCGGCAGGGCGGCCGGAGGCACGGAGCCCCTCTGGCTGCCACTGCTGCTGGAGGAGGGCGGACGTGGCTCCACGGATGCGCCGGTTGGCCCGACCACCACCTGACCGTTGGCATTGAATTGCGCTTGGGCAGCGGCTGCGGCGGCGGCCAGGCTGAAGCCGTGGTGGCGGAACTGCTCGCTGACCAGCTGCTCCATGCGATAGTGGTCGGCGGGCGAGGGGCGGCCGAAGAGCGGCGCCACCGTAGGAACTACATTGCCGGCCTGGGCCAGCGCCGGCGGCAGGGGCATGCGCAGCAGCTGGAAGGGATTGGCGTGCATGGCCTCCGGCGGCGGCAGCAGCGGATGATGGCGCATGCCAGCGGCCATGGCCGAGGCCAGATTCTCACGCTGTTGCTGGTGCACACGTTGCTGTTGCTGCTGTTGTTGCAGCTGCAACTGTTGCTGCTGCTGCTGCTGTTGCTGCTGCTGCTGCTGCTGTTGGGGTGAGCCAATGCTGCTGGTGTTGCTGATGCTGCCACCGCTGGTGTTCGCCAGCGAGTTGCTGGAGCAACTGGAGCCCACCGAGGTGGAGAGCATGGCCACCGGACTGCTTCGCTTAACGATCGAGTTTGGGCTGGCCGAATTCGCTGGCTGCGGACTGGCCAAACCGGAAGCGGATGCGGATGCGGAAGCGGCTGAAGCGGCGGCTGCTGCGGCGGCGGCCAAGGCCAGAGCACTGCTGTTGAGGGCGGCGGGCGTGGCCACCGTTAATGTGGCACCACCCAGTGCTCCGCCGGGACTCTCCACGTAGATCTTCACGCCGTGCGAATGCTGGACGTGCTGGATGAGGCGCCAGGCGGAGGTGTAGCGGGTTTTGCACGTGGAGCAAGTGTAGTTGCTGGGCTCTGCAAAAACAAGAGGATACATATCACGTTTAGTAAGCGGAAAATGCAAGGCCAAGTCAAGATATTCTGGGACATAGTTATCAGAAGAGGACATCACGGTTAGCATATGGAAAATTTAATAGCTTGCAGGCCAAAAAAACCAAATTAATTTCGTAAATATTTTATGCTCTTTAATATTGCTAAACATAATTAAAATTGTAATAATTTAATAAGACATTTTAACCAATTATGAAACTACTATTTACCCAACAAATTAAGACTGCATTTAATTTTAAGCTTTTTAATCCAATAATATATTAAATTTTTCTTTATTTTCCATAAAAGGTTGCAGGCAAAAGCAATTAGCCATACAAATTAATTTCTTAAATATTTAAAGCTCTTTAATATTGCTAAGCATAATAATTTAATTAGTTACCCAATTATTTCATATTGAATTTCATTTAAAGCTTTTAAAATTTAAAATTATATTTTTGTATATATTTTTTTTTCTTATTACTTCTTCCATGAGGCTTGAACTGTTTGTTTTCACTCTAAAGGCTCTCATTTAAGTCTCAGTCGATCCTTTTAACTGAACTCTTCAATTTCAGACCCAGCAGTGCAGCAGCACTTAAAGCTATAAATTGCATTACCAGCTTAGCTAAAATTTGGCCCGTGTAAACTCTGGTCGCCTGGCAATTTTGTTATTAATTATTAATGAGCATTTTCCGGAGGAAAGCGAGAGAGAGGGAGAGGCAGAAGCACCGCGGATCCTAGCCAGTATTTATTTATTTATTGATTTTGCAGCGCGGTTGGCATGCCAAAATGCGCCAGGACACGCATGAAAACGCGGACGGAGATTGCCAATATAGCGAAGGATATTGCCCCATGCTAAAACACACACATTCGCACACATGTGTGTCCTTTAGTTTGTTGCGGTTTTGTCGCGACATTTGTTAATTTGCCGTGGCGGAAATGGCAGCCCTAAAAACCACCCACCGAATGTCCTGCGTCCTGCGTCCTGCGACTCCTGTGAGTCCTGTAAGTCCTGCGACACATGTGCCGCCCCGCGCAACAGATGTAAAATTGAAAATTTTATGAAAAATGTGCAAAGAAGACACTTTTCGTTTTCGTATATATATATATATATATATTTTTTTTTTTGCCTCGCCACTAAAACGAAAATTTGTAATAAATAAAAATTGAAAGCCAAGGCGAAGAAGGCATAAACTGGCCACATGTCGCCACCGAGGACAACAAGGTGTTAATGCCATCGAAATGGAAACTATGCTAAAGGAACCGAATCCAAACTACCCCCGTGATGTGGACGCTGCCTGCATTTAAATGACGCCTTTAAAACGCACGAGATGAAAATTTCCCAAAAATTATCCATAAAAAAGAATGGAAATGGAAGGGCACGAGACACAGGACACGCATTCTCCACACTTTTCCTTTTTTGTCTATTTTTTTTTTGTCAATTTTTATGAGAATCCACATTAAACTTGTGGGCAGGGGGAAACTGAAAATGAAACAGCTTCCTGGCGCTGTCAAAGGTGAGTCGTGTTGAACATGATTTCATGGAGTTCAGGGGTTTAGGGGTTCAGGGGATCAGGGGTTCAGGGGATCCTGTATGCTGGAGATCAGGGATCGCCGGCCCGCATGCCACAGGAAATGCAAATGAATCTGACAGATAATACGTTTTCAATGCCTCATCCCCGCAACGGAAAAGCAGAAGGAGCAACCCTTGAGCTCTGTGGTGCCGAAACCGAAAGGGTTGTGCGCACGATCCTCAAACTATATATAGTTCATAAAAAAAGAGGTAAAAGTTGTCGAAAAACATCGGGCATTATTTGTCTGATCCTTGATCGCAGCTCGCGATGCGCACGCGCTTCAAAATAATTATTAAGATAAAAAAAAAACGAGAAGAGAAGCGAACGGGTGGCGGGTAAAACACAAAAGGCGCGGGCTTGGCACGTTCTGATTCTGTCAGCTGTCGAATGCGGGAAGTTCCGACACGGCAAATAAATTTAAATATTATTTACTCTTCAGTACAAAGAAAAAACTGGGAAAAGGTCTAATTAAAACATTTTTTTTAAACTAGGAAAATGCCTATTAGGCTGTGAAATATTCGTAATAAAAATATATTCATGTCATGTACGAAATTTTCTTTTCTATCAGCTGCTGTTGTTTCAGTGGCAAAAAAAAAATTCATTTAAATATTATTTGTTTTTAAAAAGAAGAAAAAAAAATAGGATTAATCTATTTAGAATATTTTATTTTCAAAGGATTGAATGTTATACATAAGTAAATTATATTCATGATTTATACATTTATTTTTGCTCACTGCACTGCTCAAAGACAAGAAGCGGATGTGCTGGCACCGGAAATGGCAAATTGACCGCCAGGAAGTGCAGTCGTCACACAGTGCGTATGAGCGATGCCAGCGGGTGGCGAGAAATGGATTGAAAGGGTTGCGCGCGTAATGGGATAATTGTTGCAGCTTCGCCAACTGGCAGCATGCTAAGCCAGTCTGTATCCTTTTCCGGCATTTTCCGCACAAAGGACATCTAATCCTTTGCGCAGGACGTGGAATTGCATGAACCCAAGGCATTAGCCATTGATTTCGACCATTCGACCGCTTCGAGTGGGGAGTTTTTTACACTCTTCTATATTTTTTTTTTTGTTTCTTGTTGTTTGGCTTAGTGCCAGCATGAGACAATAATTGCGGTCTGAGCCCAAAACCCCACACCATACACCATACACCGCCCACTGACCCTTAACCCTTGGCCCTTAACCCTTGGTCCTTAACCCTTGGCCCTGCTGATGGGGTTTCATTGTCGCTGCGGTCGCGACATGCTGAGCCTGGAAATTGATAATTGACACGGCTGCGTTGACAGGTGAAAAGTCGTCCCATGGCAAGGACATGTTGCATTCACATTTTTGCAACAAATATCCATTTTGTTGACAGTTGGCTTTCTTTTATTCAGCACTGGTTGCTGGTTGCCGGTTGCCATGGCGTATTTATAATTACCAAATGGCCAACAATGGCCCCGAAAGGAAGGAGTTAGGTTGGACAGCCCACTGAAGTAGAGTACAGAGCAGAGCAAAAAAAAAAAAAAAAACAGGGGAAAAAAGACAGAACAATGCGTAATTAACGCAGCTCTTTGCGATGTATCTGTATCTGTATTTGTATCTCTATCTGTATTTGTATTTCTATCTGTATTTGTATCTCTATCTGTATCTGTATCTGTAACTGTATCTGTAGCTCTGGTCGCGTATCTGTGTATCTGCGTCTTGTCAGTTGGCATTGTCAGAGTCAAACAACTTTTTACCGTATTGTCAGTGACTTTTGTTGTTCGTTGTTCGTGTCAAAAGCGCAAAAGTTCAAGGGTTAAATGGCGTATGTGTAGCTTGTATCTCCCCCTTGTGATTTCCTAAATATATATATATATATATATATGCATATCTGTATCTCAGCATCCCGATATAACATTTTTAAGGCCAATTTGATGTTGTAAGTCAATCGCTTTTCGACTGACACGCGACCTTCGCGATGTTTTTGTTTTTGTTTTGTTTTGTTTTTCTACCTATGCGATTGACTGACCTCTCTGGAAAACAACAGGCACCTCTTTTAGCAAATTCAAATTGTCAGGAATTTGTATGCCCTTATTTTCATTATTATTATACCCCTTGCTTTTGGCCAGCTTTTGTGCGTGTGTCAAGTCCAGTGCGATGTCCTTTGTCCAGTCAAGTGGCCTTTCACCCCCTTTGGCATTCCTTAGCTGTTTTTGAGGCATTCAAATTACCCTCGAGGGCAGCTTCAGAGCTTTATTGTCCTGCCTGCGTTTTGGTTACCCTTAAACCGTTGCCATAGTCCTGCTGCCACTGCTTTTTGCAGCTTTTTCTGCTTTTTCAGCTTTTTTCTACTTTTCTGCTCTTTGGTTTTGTATTTTGTATTGCTGTCTTTGGCTTTTCATCATCATTTGCATTGAAATGTCAAAGTCAAAGGGCAGAGAGCCGGGGCTTCGATTGTCGCGCGCGCTGTCCGAGTGTCCTTTTTCGTCCTGCCACTGCAGTTTATCAGCACTGAGTGCTGCGCTTTGAAGTCCAAAGTCCATAACCCATAGTCCATAGTCCACAGTACGTATGCCGTAGTCCACAACCCGCAGTGTCCGCGCTTTTTGCCCCGTATGATTATTGTTGTTGTGCACGTTTTTTCTTTGGGTTTTTTGGATTTTTAATGCAGCTGCAGCTTATCGCCGAGGGCCCGCGGCCCGATCATCACATCAAACACATTTTTTATTCAACGCTGCTTTGGAGGGAATTTTAATTTTGCCACCCAAATATGCGCCCAGCTATTTTTTGGGCAGCGCAGAAGAAGGGGGCCAGAAAGGGACTTTGGCACACAGGCTGGGACTTAAGGGGGGTGGACGCTGAAACTCACCTGTGTGGACTGTGTTGGCCTCGGCATCGACCAGCTCCATTTTGGGCCGCTTGGCCAGTGAGCGCTCCTCCTCCTCCTCCTCCTCCTCCTGCTCGCCGTCATGCTCCTGCGCCATCTGCTGGTGATTGGCGCCCTCCTCCTCGAACGGCTCTTGCTTGACCTTGGCCTGCCGATCCACCCCATCCTGCCGATCCTGCCGATCCTGCTCCTCCATTTCGCAACTGCTGTCGCCCGAGGACTGGCGCTCAATGGCCGCCGGACTGGAGGGGGCGGCATTCGAATCGAGGGTGGTGGCGCCCGTCTCACTGTCCTTGGGCGTTGTATTGTCGTTTTCTGGGGGGAGGGGAATTAATTGGTCAGGACATTAATACACAGACAGAAAAAGGCTTAAAGAGGCTATAAAACAGTTTTCAGTTCCAACTCAAAATGTTGTATTAAACGTGCTTTATTCATATTTTTATTCATTTTATTTGATCCCCTTTTAAATCAAGTTTAAAACATGTTAAAGCTTATAAGCCCAATTAAATATATTTCTTATTTCTGTATCTCTTTAGGTCACTATTTATTTGAAATACAACCCTATAAGTGATTTTTTTTATTTTTGTATTTCTTATAGCACCTTTAAGATTGTATATTGTACTATATCAATGTAGATGATAAATTTATAATAATTACTAAACAAATTGATTTATAAAATAAAAGGAGTTTTTATTTTAATTTTTTTAATAGCATTTAATATAGCTGTCTTTATTTTGTTTCCACTTGATATAACTAAACTTAATATGACTTTCGTATTCATATATATTATTCTAAGCCAATGAGTTAGACTACAGTTTTGGCTGTTGTCTTTATATATTTAAATAATAATTTATAACGACTAATTGTCTCAAATGCACTTTCAGAAGTTTGTAATTGTCAGAAAAAGGGCTAGTTTTAAGTGTTAAGAATTTAATTTGTTTTGACTATGGCTAGTTTTAAATATGTATATTTGTTTTTAAACAAAAATAAAAGCTAACTCACCGTCTACTAAGCGCTTGGGCGTACTGCTGGCTCCGTCGGCCAGCAGGTCCGCCGGACTCGGTGGTGGTGTGTGTATCCTCGATCCGCTGGCCGTGCTGCCGGCCGACGCTGCCGCTGCTGCCGCCGCCGCTGCTGCTGCTGCCGCTGCCGCGGCGACCGCCGCTGCCGCCGAGGCTGGGGCGGACTTGCGACCGGAAATGGGGGCGGAGATCGAGGGGCGGCGATTGACGAGGCTGAGCGGACGACCCTCCTCCGCATCGCGGTCCATCTGCGGATTCTGGGTGGCGCACTGGCCGTAGTTCTCCTTGTTGCACTGCAGCACCTTGTGCTGGATGAACTTGACAATGTCCGAGAGGGCGAACGCCTTCTGGCAGGCGCCGCACGTGAGGATGTCCTGTGTGGCCCCGGCATCGTTCTCTGTGGAGTCGGAATCTGTGGGATATACAAAGCACCAAAGTATTTGTTTAGTTCATAAATCTTGTTGGTTAGTTTACTGGCTAACTGGCCCGCTTCATTAATTGCTCGCAGTGTAACTGTGAAAATCCCCTATTTACATATGGCCAGATAAGCAAATATGCCATGAGACTCACGCCGCGAATGCCAATCTGTGTGCACTTTAATTTATTTGCCAAATGCCGGGGAACAACAATAAAAATAGCCCAACAACCGCCCCCTTTTCTTTCCCGCACTAATATTTGCATATGTGGGTGTGAGAAGGAGATTCAGGATTTCGCTTCTGGTTCTTTTGGTTTTCGGTTTTCGGTTTGGGTTTGGGTTTTGGTTTTGCCTTGAGTTTGGGTTTGGGCTTCGGTGGTGGATTGATTGTGTGTGCATGACCATAAATTCCAGTAGCTGTGCAATTAATTCGGCTGCTGCTTTTTGCCTTCGCCACATTCACACATATACATACATACATGCATATATGTAACATATAGTATCTGCGGTTGTCATGGCTTATCTGGCCCAGAAATTAGCAACACCAGTACGAGTACAACCGAACAACCGAACAACCAACAAGAAGTGGAACACCCAGACCAGACCAGCTGAACTTAAGCGCCCCGAAGGCAGTTAGACTTTTGTTTTCGATTCCATCGACAGGACTTGATTGACCAGAATGGTTTGTTAGAGGAAGTTAAAAAAAAAAAAAGACAAACAAAAAAAACAGGGGACTTCTTTGCCCCAGGACACTCGGGGGAAAAAGTTGAAATCGAAAATGCACAAGTTTTCGGTCAAGCGAACTTTTTTTTCACATATTTATTTATTTTTGCATTCCCTCCCCTTACAAACTAAAAATCCACAAAACTAAGTTCTGATTCAAATAGCAAAATTAAATTTATCTTAAAACTATAATCATTTTCTTTACTTATTTTTGTAGCCACCAAATGTCTGACTTTAATCGAAGACATCATCCTCAATTACAGGACCTCTCCCCGCTCAATTCGCCACACACAGTTGTCAATTAGGAAATAGATCTATGAATTATTGACTCCCTGTCGCTTTGCCACTTGTCCTTTATATATTTTTTATGTCCATTCCGGGGGCAGTTCGAGCAGTTCCAGCAATTTGCGGTTTGCCCGGGTCCAAACAATAACTAATGCGCCCTAAGCGGGGATATTCTGCCCGCCCTTCCAATCGTCAAATCGTTCAATTGTCCTGCCAGGAGCTACGCTTTTTTTTATCAATTGATTGTCCTGCGAGGGGGTGACATCCACACACATCCACACCACACATCTAAACACATGTGTGTTAGCTTGTAATTTCTGCTGATTGCCTGGGTGGGCTACGCTCAATTTTCGCTTTACCATTTTTTATACACGCTATTTCCTATTTTCCTTCCCAAATAAAATATGTTTTTCTCCGCACCCCATGGTTGACCTTTTTTTTGGTCGGGCATTTTCCAGCTGATTAGTAGTGTATTTATTGATTGGCCAGCCTGCAATTGGCCAGGCCCAAAACAAAAAAAAATGAGAAGCAGGTAAAATATGACCAAGACGAGTTGATATCTTTTACCTGCTGTCTGTTTCTGAAGAAGGGGCGTGGTCGAGCGGAGAAATGGCCGGGGGCGTGGTCGGTTGATATTTGCCTAAGCGATTAGATTAGATGTTTGCCCACAGATTAGCAGACAGACAGAAACAGCAACAGACTGCAAGTTGCGATGATTATTGAAAAGAAAAAACTTATTGACAGCATGCACAATATTGCGCCAGCTGAAGAGGGTTAATGTTTAGGGGGTTGGGATGGGGAAACCAAAAAAAAAAAACTATATATATATAAAAGGTAAAAGGGTGTATGTGTGAAGCTGTCAAACGTGTCAGTCCGCCTGACAAGTGTCAACAGAGTCCTTGCCAAATAGATTTCATAAAAGTGCCAGCTTATCGGGACCGAGAAGTCATAAATTGCATTAACCCTTACGGCAGTGACCAAATCGAATGCGATTGAAGCAGATCAAATAGTCAATGTATCCTATATATATGAGGAAAGGATTAAGACCATATTTAAGTTTGAATAAACTATATCATTGATTTGAGCTAAACTATGTTTTTTGTCCCAAACATCCAACTTCCAATTAACTAATAATTTGCTATGCATTTCCTATATCGTGATAAAGTGCTACATTTCTTTTGCGCGCCCTTAGAAATCTGAATTTATTAGCTGCTGCTGTGTGATGTCATTGGCATCTTTTACCCTCTTGCATATATGCGTAATTAATTCAGCCGTTGCGTCCCCCTCAGAGCAAAGAAAAAAATAAATAAATTGAAGTGCGTCGATTTGTTAGGCGCACAGCTTAAGCCCAAATATTTACGAGCTGCGACTTTGGCCTAAAGCACTCCTGGCCATTTAATGCAAGCCTGCGGCCATTAATATCGCTCCCTCCCCTTTTTATATCTAGAATATATATCTAGAACAATGAGGGAGGGGTTAGCCAAGTGGGACAATTAAGAATTAACATATTAATAGAAGTTTTGCGCAAATTATCAGGACAAGAAAATATGAAATTCGTTCGGCTCCTTGTATTTTTGTTATTTATAACGTTCTCGTGTTATTGACTGCCCAGGGTTGGGGGCGTGGCAGGCCGAAAACAATACGTTGATTGTGCTAATTTATGCCCCCATCCTGGCAGGAACACACATACATATACTTGTACACACGCAAGCATTCGAAGGATTCGAAGGATTCGGTTTTATGGCCCAAAGGTTATGGGTGGGCTGCTCTATCTGTGGGGATGCCATAAAAACCAGGCTGAGAGCGCCACGCCACATGGTCGTACTCGTCGGCTGTTTTTAGGTGCTCACATTCGCAGGACGAAGGACACAGGACGCAGGATCCCGAATGAAAAATGGCGTCAGCCGAAAGAGTCAAGCCACGAAAAACTGGACCAACTATTGGCGGCGAAGTGGGAAAAATTAGACCTCTTTAAGTCCTTTCAATTGTAGGAAAAACTAACGCCATAAATAAAGCAAGCCCCAAAAATATCATATTTATTAAATCTTCTCTAAATGAAGTATTTGTATAATCAATATATGTATAAAAAAAAATTCTGCAAAAATCGAAAGCTAAAGACAGCTGAGTGGCTATTATAATGACTTTTAGTGCTCCACTTCGTTGACGGGTGGTTAAATAATAAAAAAAAAAAAATAAAAAAAACAACGCCCTGAAAATGCTGAGTAAATATTTAAAGACAACACTTTTTTTTCGTTTTTTGTGTTGGACTTGAAGTATTGTTTTTTGGCCAACTCATTTAAAAGTTTAACAACAACGAAAGAAAAGGGTTAAACAAATTCGAAATTCTTTTTGTGGCAGGCGATAACAGTCGACGGGGGCGTTATAGTAAATATATATGTGTTGTCCAACAGGCGTTCTTTTTTGTTTTATTTTTTTTTTGTATTTTTTGTGTTTTTTTTTTTTTTTTGGCTGACAGTGACAAAGCGACGTCAGCAGCTGAAAAACTCAAAATCAACTGGAGCCGAGCGGCCCCCGACTTAATTTGTTTAAACAAATTACGTGTGGATAACACAGCGATACGGATACATGGAAAGGTGTTTAGCAGCTGAAACTATAACAAACAGAGTTGGTATGTATGTACGTATATACCATACCATACCTAACCATACCATACCATACACCATATAGAAGGTATATAGTGTGCCGCCTGGATTCACAATGATTTCTGTTGTGCGGGGGCGCAACAATATCGAAGCCCCGAAGCCTTATCACACCGGTCGCCTTTGCAAAGTGTTTTAGCATACAAAAATTTGGTTTTATTTGCCTACTGGCCCCTCCCTGAAATAGACCCCCATTTTCTGAGGGTTGGTGTTGGTGCTTTGGCGGGGGAGGGGAAGGGGAGCTGGGGAGGGCGGTAAAAAAAAAGCGTGGAAAAGAAGCGGTTAGCCAAAAGCTAGCGCTTGCCTGCTGATAACACCCGCATATGGCGGCAAGGTAAGCGACTGGATATCTGGACAAACAAATGAGCAAACAAATGGAACCCCGACCGGAGACTACAGACCACGAACCACGGACCACGGACCACAGACCAGAGAGTACAGACCACAGAGCACAGAGTACAGAGCACAGACCCGTAGACGGACGATTCGAATGCCGCCAGGTTGAGTGAATGAGCCATATGCAAATATGGTCGCGGCCTGGAATCGGGCATTAACATATAGTCCACGTGTGCCTCTGTCTGTGTGTTAAGGCTGGACACACATGGCGACTGATAAGGCCAAAGGAAATGGGCACAAGGCGTGTGTTCAACGAAAAGAAGAGCATTCAACCTAAAGGGCACACAAACATATATCTATACATATATATATAGATATACATATATATAGAAATTAACCCAAAAGCCAGGTGAAAACTTAAATAAATATTTTACTTTTAGGCTTAATAAGTTGCAAATGTCTGAACCTTTTCCTTGAAATTTATTTTAAGAAACTAAGGCCCTGTTAATGCCACATTAAACAAATTAGATTAGGCGGTAAACTAATAAAAATAATTAGAACAAAATAGTATTGACTGCCTAAAGACTTTGGTGTGGGTTCATATTAAATAAATACAATTATCAAATAAATTAAACTGCTAAGAAATTAATAAACAACTATTTCTAGTTGTAAGTGCAACTGTACTTCCGGTTGTCTAAAATCCAATTGGTCTTTTGAAGTCGTGCGTTGTTTGAACATCCGTTTGTAATCGAAATGTAAGTTTAAGGTGGACCGCTCTATTTGCACAGAGCCAATGAAATGTTCCCATTGTTTTTCCCCGCTCACTTCTTTTGATAAGACATATGTGGCTTGTAAGTTTTACTTTTCATTTTCAGGCCGTTGTTTTTTTCTTATTTTTTGTCGCTAAAATATTTGTGTTTGTATTGTGAGCAAGGTGCAGAGAAGCGATATAGAGAAGTTTGTTTTATTTCCCGAAAGTCAACGACAGCCACG